GAGCTGGCTCCAGGCGTCCCAGCTGAGCTCTGATGTCATGGGGTGACTTCACGGGGACCTGAGTCCCCACAAGCTTTTAGCAGTACTGAATTAGCAATAGTGAAACTTTCCAAAACAAGTGTTCTTTTAAATACACCTCGCGTTGTAGCATCTGCTTTTCCCTGCAGCCCTGCAGTGGTTTCTCCCGGCCCCCAGCAGCCTGAGCCCTGCACTGAGCCCTGGTGGCTCTTGCCCATCTCTGCTTGCCCAAAGGTGCAGTTTGGGAGCCCAGCCCTTGCTGGAGCCTCTGAGAATTGCCATGAGCTGCTGGTGAGGGATGCACTGGGCACTCCTGCAGTGCCTCTCTGCAGAGCAGGGTGGCTTCAGACTGCCAGAGGGCAGGGATGGATGGGATTTGGGGAAGGAATTGTTCCCTGGCAGGGTGGGCAGGCCCTGGCACAGGGTGCCCAGAGCAGCTGTGGCTGGCCCTGGATCCCTGGCAGTGCCCAAGGTCAGGCTGGACACTGGGGCTGGAGCAGCTTGGGACAGTGGAAGGTGTCCCTGGGACAGTGGAAGGTGTCCCTGCCCATGGCAGAGATGATTTTTAAGGTCCCTTCCAACCCAAACCACTCTGTGATTCTGTAACATTGCAACCTCCTCCTGCACTTTCTGGCAGAAAGAGTAAAAAAGCCCAGGGTGAAACCGTGATCGCCCCAGTCAGTTCCTGGCTGCTGGAGCAGCTGGGTTTATTTTTGCCTCCCTGGCTCTGTGGTGGGAGGTTGGGCTCCCTCCTGGATGGCACGGTGCCCGTGCTCCCAGCCTGCCAGCTCCAGCCTTGGCTCTGCTCTGTGCTGCTGGCCCTGATGGCATCTCTGGGTCCTCTCCTTCCCACAGCGCCAGGGAGGCAGCGAGGTGACATTAAAGCCCTGGAACAGCAGATAAAAGGCCCTGGCTGTATTTATTGAGTGTTACAGATAAGTAATCCACTCTGCTGTCAGTGTCTGCAGAAACAGCAAATAAAGTATACATGGCCCTTGCTTTGATGTGATGAAATCTCCAGAGGACACTCACTTCAGTGGCGCTCGCAGTGCAGCTGTAGCTGAGGCTTGCAGTGGAAAATACAAGATTTTCATGTCTTCATGCATTGCTTTAAAAATATCACTATGGCTGTGTGCTGGGCAATTCTGTGTTCTGAAAGCTAGGGTTGTTTTGTTGGTTTTTTTTTTTCCAAAATGTTATTAAAATAATCTTAACCGTTTTTGTTGGAAGGGGAAAAATTAATAGTTATTTTGTGGTTTCATACCCAGCGTTAAAACAACAGTCTGGTTTTCATTTAAACCAATAAAAGTATGGAAATTCAAAATGAAGGTTCTCTCCATGTCCTTAGATCAACTTGTTGGCCTTGCTGAAATGCATAATGGATGGAGCAGGGGAAAAACCTCAATCCTACAACTCTTAGCTTTGTTTTTGCACATAGCTCAGCTTTTTTTGTTGCTGGATTTCAAATCTGACGTCACTTTCTTGCCTGTCTTCTCAAGCTATAAAAACTTCCTCGATTTGGTAAATGTGCAGCTGCTTAGAACCCAGTGAACCACAGATTTTTTTTTTGGTTTTTTTTTTTGAAGAACCTGAGCAGTAGTGAAAGAAATTAGTTGGCAAACACGCATCAGTAATTGAATTAACGCACTTTCAAATTTTGGGGTGTAAAGCTGACTGTTGGGGATGATGGGTTTTAGTCAGTTCTGGTTTATGGTGTGGTCAGAAAGAGACCAGAGGCACAGCTGGGGCACAGAAACCCGCAGCCAGCCCCAGGGGAGCAGCCCTGGGATGGGTGCTGGGGGATCCCCATCCCCAGGGATGCCCTGGGACAGCTGCCCTGAGCCTGGCCAGGCCTCCAGGGCCCTCCTTGCAGCCTGCAGGTTCCCTCCCAGCTCTGGCTTAGCCTGGGACAGGGCAGGGCTGAGTGTGGAGGAACCTTTTTTCACAGAAAGGGTGCTCAGACCTTGGCAGGGGCTGCTCGGGGAGCTTTGCAGTGCCCATCCCTGCAGGTGTCCCAAAAAGGGCTGGAGGTGGCACTCTGGGCTGGGGACAAGGTGGGCATTGGCACAGGGTGGATTTCATGGGCTGTGGGTGCTCAGACCTTGGCAGGGGCTGCTCGGGGAGCTTTGCAGTGCCCATCCCTGGAGGTGTGCCAGGAAGGGCTGGAGGTGGCACTCTGGGCTGGGGACAAGGTGGGCACTGGGCACAGGGTGGATTTCATGGGCTGGCAGGGATTTTCCAGCCTCAGGGATGCTGTGTGAGCTCCTCAGTGTCTCTGGGGTTCACATGTCACCAGGTGAGCAGCCTGTCACTGTCCCCAGACACCTGCAGGCACCGGGCACTGCAGCGCCTGGCCTCAGCCTGGCTGTTATCCCATCTCCTCAAGGCTTGGAAAAATCACTTCTCCCCCAGGCTATTCCTTCCCTGGCCACTAGGAACGAGCTGCCCTGGCTGTTCACAGCCCTTGGATCTGGGAAGTGCCAGCCCTGGAGCTGCCTGCCTTCCCTCTTCTCCCCTCTCCTGGCCTGCTCAGCTGGACTCATTTCCTTCCTTCCTGCACTTCCCCACCATCCCCTCGGGCAGGGGTCTGTTTACACCTGACAAAATCTCAGTTTATGCTCAATCCAGCTGTGCAGCCTCCACCCTGCTGACCCCTGGCACCTCCTGAAGCTCTATAGCTGGTGAGGCAGCTCCATAAGGACATGGTGGGTCTCCAAAAAAGTGCTTCAGGGCCAGCTGGCCACCCCAGCTCTGGCAGCATGAATGTTGTGAAGGTTGTGCCTGCTCAGGGGCTCCCTGTAATGAACCTGGAGCACATTCCCACCCTGAGGAGCAGGGAAGCTCAGCTCCTTCATGGAGAATTTGGAGGGGGTTTTGTTCATGTCCCTTTCCCCAAGGGAAACAGAGTAGCCAGAGCAACCTGAACAAAGGGTGGTGTCCTAGATGGGATGTTACAACTTCACATTTGCTTGTTTATAGGACTTTTCTGTTCTTTTGAAGCACAGCAGTGCAGTGTGGTTGTTTGTGGTGGCTGTAAGAAGGAGCCTGCTGGTGATGGACACCTGGGAGCCCGGCTGGGCACAGCTCCTTCCCGAGAGGGGACAGGGGGTGGCTTCTGGGTGAGGTCTGTCCCTGGGCCGTGTTTCATGTGTTCAGCAGCAGCTCTGCTCCCTGGATGGGCTCCTGGGGTCTGCCAGGAGGAACTGGGACAAGCCCCAGGGAAGTCACTGCTGGAGCTTGGAGAAGAGCCCCAGGATATTCCTGGATGCTGGCACCACGTTAAGCTCATGAGAACTTGGGCCAGGGAACACTTCCAGCAGGGAGGGATGTGCAAGGTCCTTTCCTGCTGGCATCCTTTCCTCCAGGGCAGCCCTCCAGCCTGCCCCACAGCCCTGCTTAATCCCTGCCTTCCCCTCCAAGCCATGAAATCCATCCCTGAGGGCTGCAGGAGTTGCAGGGGAGCTGTGGGAGAGGATGGAGGTGACAGCCTGCAGGGGACAGTCCTGCCAGAGCCTGGGTCAGCCTTTGAGCAGCACAGAAATTTGGGAAGGAAGCCAGTGCCCTGCCTGGGGCGTGCCAGGCTGCTCCGGGCCTTTGGCATGGCATCCAGGAGCCCTGGGTCCCAGGGGAGGAAGAAAGCAGCGTGACCTTGGAGTAAATCCTCCTTGGAAAGATCTGAGTGCAGGGGTGAGAGGCAGCTGGACCCCTCAGCTCCTTCTGGGAGGGAGAAATGGAGAGGGAAAGGGAGCTTCTTCAAAGCCCTTCGTGCTCAGCCAGTCCTGCTTCCTCCACTGCCAGGTGCCTGTTTTTCCTCCTTTCCTCTCCCCAGCTTTTGTGGCCTGGTCAGTGCTTCCTTCTGCTCTCCCCATTTCTCTGTGTCCCCAGTGTATTTGTGGGGAAAGTGTGCAAAAAACTCCCCAAGTTTTTTCAGGGTTTTTTTTTCCCTTGGGGACATTTCAGTGTGGGTTTCTGGTGGGATTTGATGTGGAACCTGACTTGTGATCCTCTGGTGTGCTGGGCATTAAGTCAGGCTGGTGGGGAAGACCCACCAGGAGCCCCTGAATGAGTTTGGTCAGCCTGATCCACTGTGGGGTGGGGTGCTCCTTTCTTCATACAACACCAGCTGAAGTGTTGTCTCTGTGTGCTGCTCCAGCTCACAGGAGCCTTGGACATCCACTCAGTCATGGAACTGAACTCCACAATTAGGCAAGTTGGTGGATTTCCCTGTGCCATGAAATGAAATAGTATTTGGATGCTCACCGTGGGGCTAATGCTACTTTGTGCAGCTTTTTATGAAGATTACGAAATTGCAGCAAAAAGCAGATCTTGCTGTAATTAGAAGATAGAAGAGTTAATCATGGGGAGGAATTAGGATTCATGCTTGCTCTGAAATTTTCTAAACTGCTTTAAAATTACTTCAGCTGAAGGAGCTGAACTTCACTATGAACCTTTTGTAGGCTGAAGTGCAGTTTTCTTCATTCATTTGAATTGCAGCACAGAAGTCACAGGGCTCTTTTCCCCAGAGGTTCAAGAGGCTCTGAGTTCATTTTGTTGATATGTGAAGTCATTTTGGTGCTTGTCGAGCCATACAACCATTTACTTGATGTCCTTGAGGCAACCCAAGCATTTTATTGCTATTTATTCACCCTTTGAGACAAAAAGTCACCAAAATCATCAAAGTTTCAAGTCAGAAGCAACTAAGGGAGAGCTGGGAGATGAACCCCCAGCAGCTGGGGGAGGGTCGTGTGTGAAGGACACACTCCACATAATACACCATTAAAACTTCATGAAGAGGTGTCCCAGAAAAAAAAAAAATACTACAAAGCACTAGGCTTAATATTAAATTCTTAGTTTTAGCAGTCTGGTCATTTTCAGGAAGGAATAATCAGCTTAACTGCAGCATTCCCATATTTAATGTTCTGAGCGGAGAAGGGATTGTCTGATTTTCTTTCTTTTTTTTTTTTTTTTTCTCTTTTTCACAGTAATTAATGAAAGTCAAAAGCAGCAACTGGAATCTGTGAGCTACTCATCCCGCTACGCCCTGGGACTGTTTTATGAGGCTGGGACAGGGATTGGTGTCCCCTGGGCTGCTCAGTACATCACTGATAATCCCTGCGTACGCTTCATCTCCATCGATAACGAGAAGCGCAATATAGGTCAGTGCTCCCATTATTTCCCTTAAACACAGCCACAATGGAGGGTGTAGAGCATGAGAAATGCTGTTTAATTGAGTGTTGCTGCTCTGAACAGAGCGAGTGTTTAACTCCAGGCTGCAGCGGATGGCGTTTCATGTCACTGCTGGCCTGTAGTGAAGCACACAATGAGAGCAGGCCGGCCCTCGGAAAATCAGCCCCCAGCACATGGTTTATGTTACTGCGTTTATAAAACCAGTGTCAGGGGATTGGAGACTTCAAAATGTTGCTATTCCAAGAAAGAGCAGGGGTTCCTTTGTTTAAACACTCGCCAGTTTGTCTCCCGTCACCCGTTACTCCACAACTCCTGCTCTTTCCTCAAGGCTTGGAGGCAAGAATGACTGGGATAACTGGAGCTGCTCAGCCCAGTTCAGAGTTAGCCAGGCTGCTCTTGTCATCAGGGAGAGCCCCTGCAATGGCTGCACGTGCTTGGTAGGGCTTGGAGAATATCCCCCAAGACAGAGCCTTCTCCAGTCTTTCTGGAGGATGGCAGCTGAGGAAGTGTGTGTTTTATTTATTAAATGTGTTTCACCTACCAGGAGTGGGGTGGCATAGAATAGCTCAAGAGAAAACACTTGCAGACCAGTTAGAGTCACCAGCATGGTTTGGCTTGCAAGGGACCTTAAAGACACAAAGTTCCACCCCTGCCATGGGCAGGGACACTTTACACCTGTCCAGCCTGGCCTTGGGCACTGCCAGGATCCAGGGGCAGCCACAGCTGCTCTGGGCACCCTGTGCCAGGGCCTGCCCACCCTGCCAGGGAACAATTCCTTCCAATATCCCATCCATCCCTGCCCTCTGGCAGTGGGAAACCATTCCCTGTGTCCTGCCCCTCCATCCCTTGTCCCCAGTCCCTCTCCAGCTCTCCTGGAGCCCCTTTAGGCACTGGAAGGAGCTCTAAGATCTCTCCAGAGCTTTCCCTTCTCCAGGCAGAACAATCCCAGCTCACTCAGCCTTTCTTTGTAGGAGAGATTCTCCATCCCTCTGTGCAAGCACAAATTTGTTGTTTTCCCTAGGAATTTAGCCACTTGATCTGACAAAAGAATGGCTGGACTGGCCAAAATAAGGATGTAGCCACCCTGATGTGCTTTCTCCAGCAGGGACTTGGGTGAATATATGAAAAAAGAGCCAAGGAAAGCCACATACAGAGTGATCTTTTTTCCTCTGGTATTATCACCTTGTTACTGGCAGTGTTCAGCTGGAGATTTTCTTGCATCTGAGATTCTTTTGCCATTGTGTTCAACAAAAAATATCTGATAGTTAGTAGGGCCTACTGATATTATCCTTACCAGTGTCAAGGGGGAGTTCACCCATACTTTCCCCACCTCTCTGCACGTGTAGTCTCAAAGCCCCAGCAGAAAGAACAGCAAATATGGAACTGTGATGGAATTATCAAACAGCTTTGCTGTCTGCAGATGCAATTGAACCAAGTACAAAGCACATTATTTGGGGCATATTGTTAATAAATACATAGAAGTACCAGGACATCAGAGTTGACACATACCTTTCTCACTGAAATTTCCCTGGAATTGTGGGAGAGTTCTGTTTACATGAGCAAATTTTTCCAAGAAGAACCAATTGTGTGTTTGTGTGTCTCTTCCTAGGAGACAGGCTTTAGACAGCACAGGCAAGGGAGGTTGAGTGTGAAATTTATTTACATGTGAAGCCCTGCAACCAAAACACGTGAATAAAAAGTTCCTTTATGCTTGTTTTAGCACATATGCGAGTGTTTTGCATCTGCATTTTTCTTCCTGTGCTTCTGACTGCGCTCCAGAAGATTTCAGTGGGAGGCACAGGAGCACCTTGCTGTCCCTTTCAACTCCACTCCACTCATCCTCTTCCCACTCTTTTGTTCTTCAGCCTTATTATTTGGACTCTTCTGAAGAAGAGGATGGTGACAACCAAAAAGTAAATATTCAGAGAAAGCAGAATTGCTGGGTGAGGCAGCTGAGATCTTCCAGGGCAGTCATCATTCCCAAAAAAACCATTAGTTTCTCCAGAAGAAACACCTCTACATCAGGTGGTTCTTCACCTGATGTATCCACAGTAAATGGGGGCTTATCTCACCCTCACTGCCACCTCAAACAGCAACTTTTTCATAAACACCCTTGAACAGTAGAGATCCAGAGGAAATAACTGTAGCTGATAGTTGTCCCCTGCAGGAGGTTTGGAACTGGATGGTCCTCAATCCATTTTATGATTCTATGATCCCGTGAGCTTTCTGCTGAGGGACTCAGATAACATCTCCCCTAAAGCAGGTAGTCCAGCCCTCACAGGCCAACAGCAAAGGCTGCTGGAAGCCCAGACTGTCCTTGTCACTTGTCTGAGACGTGGCAGTCCCTGCCTTGGCTCAGTAAAGCAGAGACATCCAACTCGGGGGCGTTTCACCAGTGAAACCCAACCCGGCCTTGCTGCTGTAATCACGCAGCGGGGTGGGTTTGATAAAGCAATTTCCCTGATGCCACCAATTCCTGGTGCAATCAGGAGCCTCCAGGAGGGAAGGCTTTTTCCAGCAGCTGGGGATCCCAGCTGCTGTGGGCAGAGCCCCATCCCTGCCTGCAGAGGTGATGTTATGTAAGGAAGAGCCCACCAGAAGCGTGTGCTGAATTCCCCGTGTGGCGTGCATGAATATTAAACACTTTGTGGGATTGGCTGCCTCAAACACCCCATCCATATTTATACCAGGTCGGGGGGGACAGTGGGAATTCTCCAGCATCAATTATTTCTGGAATACCGCAGTCTTTGCATCTCTCTGCATTCCAGGAGGACTAAAGATAGATGATACATCAAAGGGGAAGTGGTTCCTTTCTTTCGCTCCAGGATTGTGGGGTTATGTAATTTAAAGGGAAGATCTGCCTTACAGGTTTTTAAGCATTGTATAATTCCTGAGTATCCTCTTTAATTTTGAAATAGAGATTCATTTCCTTCCTGAATTAAGAATTTTTTAGGAAGATGAAGGAGTTAAAGAACTCTTTACATTTTTGCTTGTTATGCAGCCAGTTGTATTGCAATCCTCTGCCAGCCCCGCCTGCCTTTTAGAAAAATAATCAGAAACCGTTGGTAAGGCTAATGAGATGCTGGGTTTCTGAATGTGAAAAAGTTAGTGCCTTTCTTTCCATGACTCCTCCCAAAAGTGCCTTGTCAGACAGTAGATTTTATTCCAGGGAGAATATGGGACCTTAGGAACCCTGGGAATTTCTGAGGATAACTGGGGAAGCTCGCTGGCCCTCCTCCCAAACAGCAGCGTGGCATTTTGAAAGTGACCCTCCATCTCTCTTGCTTTCTAGGTGTAGTAAAGTAGATCACTGCTCTTTTTTACACTTTTAGGTAGGGTTTATGAGGCCTGCACATTGACTTCTCTTTTGGCACCATGTGAAAGAGCCATCCCAGGGAGCAGGGATGCAGTTCCAGCATGTCCAGAGGTGTCCAGCTTCTCTGCTGCCCTCCATGCTGACCCAGCAGCATTTCCTTCTTCCAGGGTTTATTTGGTGTGGCAAAAACCCTTCCCCTCCTGCTACCCAGGACCACAATGGGGTTCAGATGGCAAATCACATCGCCCCAGGAAGCTTAAAAATCCCTGAGGGTCAGGAAGCAAACGCATCGCGGTTTTTATCAGGATCTGTTATGGCTTCAGGTTTTGGACAGCAATGTAAGAAAAACACTCAATGCTTTTCTCTTAAAATGAGGAGAACACTCCTGTGGGAGATGTGTGCCTGTCACATCCGTGGATAGTTTTCTGCTGGAGGCCAGGTTGTAACCCTTTGATGACCCCTGAGATCATTTTGGAAAGTTGGAATGTGTCTTCTTCCTAGAGGGGATCTCTGCCTTGAGGAGCTGGAGATTTCTTCAGTGGCACAGCAGAGATAAGGAGTTTATCAAGCTTGGTGCCTAACAGCCAGAATGGCCAGCAAGTGTCCAGCCACCTCTTTCTTTGTGGATTCCTGGGTCAGAAAACACTCGTTTGCTGAAAATAAAATCTTCTTCTAAGAATGTGCTAGTCCAAACAAAGGTCTAGCCAGGAGAGGCTTCCAAAGGAAGGGGTAAGGGAGTGAGAGGGAATCACTTAATTGAACAACCAGCTCAGCTGAAATGTAGCATAACCCACACAGAGTCCTTGCTCCATCCTGCTCATCAGGGCACACGAAAATCCCCTAATCCAGCCAAATTCCTTGGATGCTGTTTGTTAGGCCACATCTGTAAGGTGACAAGCCAACATGCCAAGGGGACAGGAGTCCCCTGCTGCAGACAACCTGCAGCCAGCCCCAAATGTAACAAAGCCTGGCCCTTTCCAGGTCTGCTGGGATCATCGTCAGCACCTGAGCTGTGATTTCATAGATGAGAATAAATTTTTGTGATAGGACAAAGGGCGATGGTTTTAAACTGAGGGAGGGTTGATTTAGATGAGATAAAAACCCCAACTTTTTTACAGTGAGGCCTTGGCACAGGTTGCCCAGAGAAGCTGTGGGTGCCCCAGGATCCCTGGAAGTGTCCAAGGCCAGGTTGTTGCAGAGATTGTCCTCCCTGACAGAGGTTCAGAGATTGCCCTCCTTGTGTTGTTATTCCATGTGCTTTTTTCCCATCTGGAAAAACAGAGTGGTACCACGGATATTTTTGTTCTTACTGACTCCTAGGTCAGAGACACAATTGTCAGCATGTGGGGAAGGCAGATATGAATGAGCAATGCTTCAAAACCACCTCTGCTCTTCCTTCCTTTCTTCCAGAGTCTCCTGACATTGGGCCCTCGGTCGTGGTGCACACCACTGTGACCTTTGGAAGCCAGCACCTGGACTCAGACCCTGCAGAGGTGCAGCAGATCATTCTCAGCCACCTGAAGAAGATTGTGCCCTCCCTGCCTAAACCAAGCAGCATCAAGTGCCACAGATGGAGATACTCCCAGGTACTCAGCTGCATTTTCCATCCTCAGTATCCATAACACATTCCAGCACCCAGGGCTGGCCAGCAAAGCCAGGTCATTTTTAGCCATTTCTTAACATCGTGGGCCTGGCTCAGCAGTGAGTTAGGCAGCTCTCCTAGTAAGCAGGGGTAGGAGCAGTGTACAGGAAGGAAGTAAATCCCATGTAATTCGGTGGGATTTTCACTGGTATTTAAAAATCACGACTCAATACATCTCTCTGCATCCAAAAGTACGTGGCATTATTAGCAAAATTCCTACCCTGCCGCAGAAGAGCAGAAGTACAGAGCTACTAATTGTTATTATTTGATTTGGCCCAGCTCAATTTAACAGAATGTTATGCAAAAAGTATTTTAAAGTAAACTACCTAAGGGTAATAATAGCAAAATATGTGTATTTTGCAGTCTTCTTTTAAAAATCCAAGGAAATTGTTGGCGATTTCCTCAAGTATTGGAGTCTATCTCCATGTTTACCCAAAGGCTCTCAAGTTAATTTACATTGGTGAATTTGAATGTGGAGGTTGATGCAAAATATTTACTTTTAAAGCAGTCCCCTAAAAATTTTTCCTTTTTTGAAGTTGCTGTGGATAGCTGTTGTGGAGTCTGCTCGTACCCCTTGATCTGCATCCAGTTTGGGAACCTGGTCTCGTTAGCACAAAGTTTATTTTTCTGCAAGTAAAGTATTGGTGGATTGCAAAAGCAACCTTAGCATGGGTATTAAGGCTTACATAAAACCTATCAAAATTGTGGTGTCTTCTCTAAGTTCCTCTTTATCAGTTCAGGGGGGATTTTTTTGACAAACAGGTGTCACTGCTAAGGTTCCCTGGTTGTGACATCTGGTCTTTTCTCCTGCCTTACCTGCTGAGAGCTGCAGTGCTCACGAGAGCTGTGAGTGGGAGCAGGGAGAAGAGCTGGATCCAGCTCTGGAAAGGGTTCCCAAACCCCATCCAACTCCTGCTTCTGTTGCTGCTGCCAGCCAGAGCTCTGAGTCCAGCAGCTGCTGGTGCCACAGGAGGAATTATCACCAGCCTGTAATTTGGGGGATGAATGTCAATATGTCTTAGGTTGCAGATAAGTCCGTGTAGGTCAGACCCTTTATCTCAATAAAGAGATCTCTAAAGCCACCCTATAAAATAATCACTGCCTAAATGAAATATCTGGGCCACAGCTCCCTCTTTCTCCTAAAGCTCTCTTTACTTTCAATTATAATAAGCTGCTGCCACAGAGGCCAAGGGAACTGATAAGATGGGTGCCTGTTTCCCCTGACTCTTTTAGTTGGGATTTATCCTACTTGTTAATTAAATCCGGCTGTAACATCCTTCACATGGCCAAACACAATCCTGGGATTAAAATGCAGACATTACAATTATCCGTGGCAGATGAGGGATTAGGACTTCCAAAATTCTACTGACACTACTTAGCAGCACAGCTGCAGCTCTGGATCCCTTTGCTCTAATTATGGTGAAGGCACCATTAGCATTCAGAGCCAGCAGCTTCCCAACCCACCGTGTGTCTTTGGCAGAGTCACTTTATATGGAATTACTGAGGCTGGAAAACACCCCCAAGATCATCAGCCTTTGACCAAATATCAGGAGGGGTAGGAGCTGTTTGGTACAGCCAGCATCAAATAAACACTGGGTAGCCCAGAAGAAAGGACACTCAAAAAAGACTTTTTCTGCCAAGTCTTTCTGCATTGTTTGTACTCAGCTTGATCTGTGAGAAAAAATCAGGAATAAATTAAGTACTGACTTAAAATTGGTCTAAGGGAGAAGCTCTCTCTGGATTTGCCATACCTGGATAGACTCCTCTGTTAAGCTGAATAAAGGGTGAGGGGTTACAATTGGTTATTTCAGCTAGTTTCCTCCTTTGGAGAGATGCTAACACCCAGTAGCAGAAAATGCAGCCATCAACATAAATATATAATTGTGGGTGCTTTGCATCTCATCCACACATGGCAGTGGCAGAGAATGGCTCAGCAGTGGCCATTGAGGGTACATCTGAATCAGTGGAAAAATCCCTGGATTTAGCAGGATTCCTTGGTGGAAATCCATGGAATGGTCAAAAGAAAATTGTAAGAGTATCATGCTTTAGCAGTTTGGACAGCAGCAGGAATTTCTGCATGGAAAGGGTGCTCAGGCCTTGGCAGGGGCTGCCCAGGGAGCTTTGCAGTGCCCATCCCTGCAGGTGTGCCAGGAAGGGCTGGAGGTGGCACTCAGTGCTCTGGGCTGGGGACAAGGTGGGCACTGGGCACAGCTGGGACTCCATGGGCTGGCAGGGATTTTCCAGCCTCAGGGATTCTGGGATTTTGTGATCCAGAGAGAGGAGGTTCCCTTCCCTGTGTTGAATCCATTTGCAAGCCCCACTTTGCTGATGTGAGACCACCCTCACACCTTTTTGGATCTCTGCACCAGGGTCAGACAAGTCATATCTGCTGAGAATAAAACAGAACAGGCTGTAAAGTTTCTACATTTCCACACACAATCAAGTTTTACTGTAATTCTTCAACACCCAGAAGCAAGTATTTTACTGTGGTACTTTGATGGTTAATGTTTGGATCTACCTTTTGGGGTAGGAGGCCAGGCTGGACATGGCTTGGAGCAGCCTGAGATAGTGGAAGGTCCCTGCCCATGGCAGGGGTGGGAAGAGATGATTTTTAAGGTCCCTTCCAACCCAAACCATCCTGTGCTTCTGTGATGTGCTTCTCAGGAATTCAGATCTTTCTGCTGTGAAATTCAGGTACTTTCTCTTCCCACTCCCTTTATGTTTTTCATTCTCAGGTTACAAGAGCTGTGCCCAATTGTCCAGGACAGATGATTCTTCACACTCAGCCTCTCCTGATCTGTGGGGGTGATGGATTCACTCGCTCCAACTTTGATGGCTGCATAGAGTCTGCCATGAGCCTTGCAGAGGCTGTGAAGCCTCATTTACAGCAATTTCAAACCCAGGCTGCTAAAATTCCTCTAGATTTGTTATGAATTTTGCTGTGACGGATCGAATTTGAGTTTAACATCAACATCATCTTGCAAAAAACAAATAAAGGAAGATGTATTGGTGCACTGGAATAATTATCGGGATGGAATTAAATTGAATTTGCCAGGATCTGTGCTCAGAGTGGTTACTTTGATTAAAATAAGACTTTCCCTGGCTGTAGGCAGAGGCACAGAGCTCCAGCACTCTTGCCAGGTCTCCTGATACTTTTACAGGCTATGAAAATGATGTCAAGGAGAGGAGCCTGACTTGAAGCAGCACAAAAGTCCATGAAGCTGCAGAGTTTATTCCTTGGAAATGCTTTATTTTCTCCTTGTCCCAGTGACAGGACAAGAGGGAATGGCTTCCCACTTCCAAAGGCAGGGTTGGATGGGATATTGGGAATTAGGAATTGTTCCCTGGCCGGGTGGGCAGGCCCTGGCACAGGGTGCCCAGAGCAGCTGTGGCTGCCCCTGGATCCCTGGCATGCCCAAGGCGAGGCTGGACACTGGGGCTTGGAGCAGCCTGGGACAGTGGGAGGTGTCCCTGCCCATGGCAGAGGTGGAATGGGATGGGCTCAGAAATTACTCAGAAGTTAACCAAGAAATAATTTATTTATTGAAAATTGGATTTTAACTTGCTCTTCCTCTTCAATCATGTCTCACAAGTCTAATACATCTCTACCACAGCACTGAAAATAACAAAATATAGCAGACAGGATTTAAAACATTAGAGGAGTACAATTCAGCCTCTGTTTTTCTTATTTTACCCCTGCATTTCACCCAAATCTGACATCCTCTATCACACCAGCTGGCCACTGTGATTTACTGCTGCCCTTGGCCATTTCTAGTGGAGTATTTTAAGTGGCACTAAGAATTTAAGACTTGTTAATTTTAAAAGTAGGCAGAAAACGATGTGAGGTGTCTTTGGCTCAGTGGTTGTTCTCTGAAGAGCTGTGATGCTCTTTCAGGGGCTTTGTATCAGCAGCAGCCTCTGACACCAGCAGTGACAGACCAGTGCAGATGTCTCTGACTCCTCCTTCCAGCAATCTCTCAGCTTTGGTCACCCTGATGCCTCAAAGTACCCAAATCACAGATTCAGAGATGTTTTTTGAGTCATGAGATTTTCAATGTGGAGCTTTTTTGAATCCCTATGAGTCTCAAATTGCTCTTTCCTCATATCCCAGGATCCCTGAGGCTGGAAAATCCCTGCCAGCCCATGGAGTCCCAGCTGTGCCCAGTGCCCACCTTGTCCCCAGCCCAGAGCACTGAGTGCCACCTCCAGCCCTTCCTGGCACACCTGCAGGGATGGGCACTGCAAAGCTCCCTGGGCAGCCCCTGCCAAGGCCTGAGCGCCCTTTCCATGCAGAAATTCCTCCTGAAAATGCCATGCCAATCTACCAGTTCTGCAGCCCCCTCCAGGTTTAGGTAAAAGCTGCTTGGGGTTTTTTGAAGGTGGAGAGGGAAAGTTGTTGGATGTGTTCCTCTGGGCAGTGGGAATTCTGGGAGCAGGGAGATGTGGAATTCCCACACAGGGCGGGTGACAGGGTGATGTTTCAAAGAGCCCACTGTATCCAGAAGGGTGGCAACAGAAGAGACTTGTCTGGTTGATTTCCTGGGATTTTCCCTGATTTTTGATTAACTGGCAGATCCATCCATTCCAGCTGCTCTCTCCTTGCTCCCAGACAAGGGGGATGGCTGTGTCTGCTCTCATCTGTGCCATGAGCCCAGCCACTGCCTGAAGTGGGACTGGAGCCTTCCAGCTGCCAGACCACGGTGTTCTTGTCTTCCTCATCACAAGGAAAGCCAGGACCATGGGTTCTCAAAGCCTTCCAGCTCCCAGCTGTGGTAACTTCCACCCAGGGAACACCCCCTGGCAGGGCTGGCCCGTGGCACCCTGTGCAGCCACTGCTCTTACAAGGGGATCAGGAATATGGGAGCAAGGCTGCCATGGATGGATGTGCCATCAAAAGCCACATCCACCCAGGGAAAATCCCAGGAAATCAACCAGACAAGTCTCTTCTGTCTCCAGAGACCTGGGCCGTGGTTTTGCGCAAGCATATGAAAATAATTTAAGACATTAATTTAGTTTTGGAGACTTGGGGTTTTTGTGTTGGTTTGGTTTTTTGTTTGTTGGTTGTTTTTTTTTTTTTTAATTATTTTTAAAAGTCAGCTGCAGGTGGGATGTGCTGCCCAGCTGAAAGCACCCCTGTGACCACATTTCCTCTTGTGGAGGGGCAGTGTTGTGCTGGTGCAGCCCCAGACCCAGAGCAGAGGTCGCTGCTGCTGCAGTGGCACCGGCGTGGGGTGTGACACTGCCAGAGGAGCTTCCTCCTTCAGTCAGGGCAAGGAAGAGGAACCTGACCCTGTGCCACCCCCACCGTGTCTGGGTCACCAGCCCCAGCCTGGCACCAAGGGCTCTGTGGCTGCCTGGGCCAGGGCAGCGTTTGCTCAGCTGCAAATCCCAGAGTGACCAGCTCCAAGGGGCTGGGGACAGGCCACCAGGAGGCTGTGCTGGACCCAGGAGCCTGGCTGCTCCCAAGGGAGCACCTTGAGCCCCTGTGCAGAGATTTCCCCTGAGCCAGAGCTGGTTTTGCCTCTAATCCATCCCCTGGCTCAGCTGTGCTGTCCCTAAGCCGCTTTGTGTGGCAGAGCTGGAGCCCTGAAATCCCAGAGCCTTCTGCTGCTGCTGTGCCCTGATCACTGCAGCACCTCCCTGTCGTCCTCCCTGGGATTTGTGCTTCATTCCCACTTTCAGGTGGCACCTCCAGGATCAGCCCCACGGGGCATGGAGCAGCCCCTTTCCCGAGGAGGAGGAGGAAGAGTGACTGGCTTCATTTTCAAGAAGATCCAAGCAAAAATTTCTCCCCTGGAGGTAATTAAATGGAAACAGGGAGAGAGTTGTGGCTTGTTGGAATCCGAAATGCAAGGAGCTCTCAGAACTTTGGGCCTGTAAGGCTAAGCTTAGAATTAAACCCAGGATTTGATCTGAGACCTCAGAAAAGGCTTCCAAACTTAGGTGCTAGAAGGGAGAATGTGGATTTATGGTTTAAAGCATGTTTTTAACATGTTAAGTTAAACAGAAGAAAAGAGTTTTAAAGATATAAAAATACAAGTAGTTATGAAGGTAAACAAGAAGTTTAGAATGCAGTACTGTAGGTTTGTGTGTCATAACATGATTGGCTAAGAAAGCTTACACTGTAACATGAGTCTATAAGACAAAATATTTAAAGATTAAGTAAAAAACATAAATATCCTTGTTTTATTAGTCAATAAATCCTTAAGAAGTCTTGTAACTAGGGGTCTTGTGACCTTCTAAACCATGCAATAAAGATGTGAGCCACACTCACCCTTCCTACCCATGTAAAAGATAAAAAAAAAAAACAAAAAACCACACCATCAAAACCAATTTAGAAAAAAAGATCATTCAAAAATCCCCATAATGGCTCAACCCCAGTGCAGAAATTTCGTGTTGGGTGAAGGGGGTGCAGGGCAGGTTTGCTGTCATCTTGGTGGCTGTGGTGATGAAACCCCTGGAGACTCTTGGGAAGCCTGGTGCTTGTTCTTTCCCAATTTTCATCCCATGGGAAAACCCATCGGGGTGTTTGTGGCTGTCCCCCTCATCCCCGAAGATCCGGGGAAGGGTTTTTAGTGCCGAGGGCTCGCAGCCAGCCCCGCTGTGGGAAAGCGAGCCCGTTCCGCCGCGCTCTGCCAGCCGCCCGCCGCGCCGGTCACGGGGACTCTGCGGTCAGCCACAGCTCGGTGTGACATTATCTGCCGTGCACAGGGTGCAGCCCAGCCCGGGCACCTCCTCCCTCACCTGTGCCGGCCCGACATCCTTCCTTTCTCAGCGCTATCAGCCGCTTGCATCTCCCCTGCGCCGGGGATGCTGCGGGCGCTGCGGGGATGCGAGCGCCCCGGGCAAGGGTGGGACCGTCCTGTTGCAGCCTAAATTTGGGGGGAAATTATTTTAAAAAAACGTAAAAACGTGGTGGGCAGTCAGAGCTGGAATATAGGTCAGCCTCTGTCCCCAGAGTGCAGGGAAATGGAGAGGAGAGGATCGGCCGCTCTCCTTGGCTGTCGGATTATATTCTTCTCTGACCCAGAGGCATTTATTCTTTTAT